AAACTGAGATTTTTCAAACAAATTTTTTGCGTTTAGCGTGGACGAGGAATACAGAGTTGGTCAGGCAACGTCAAAGGTATGTGCCTTTTTTCACGTTACGCTGTGCGCCATGTTATTGTTTACAGGAGATGAGTTGCAGAATGGCAGATTAACAGTATTTTGTCTCTATCTGCAGGTTTACACGCTTACACACACACACGCAGTTAATGTCCCTCTGTTTACAAAGGCAGAGGCGTCACGGTGTAATTATTTTACGTGTAGTTGTTTTTTTCCTGTGTAATAATATTCAACATTGCTATCAATACATTTTTCAAAAAAATGCCTCTCTGTGCAAAATGGGTTTAAAAACATAAACAACTGTGGGATCCTGTTTGGCCATGATCTGGAGAGCCCAGCGCTGCTCCCGATGAAGGGAAAACCAATCCTGCAGGGAGACCTACCTCGGCACTTGTGCAGGTGAAGCCAAAGGGAAGATGCTTCACCATATTTTCTAGTCTTTGGCTCAGAATGAAGTTGGTTTGGAAACATATTCAGCGATGCTTCATCTCCTGCTTTGCATTTGTGTGGGCGTCCCGTCGGGCGGTTTTTTTTTTTTTGTTTTGTCCTTTTCATACCGCGCCCCGTCTGCAATGGCTCTGCGCCCCCATACTTTGGGAAGGTCTGTTCTAATCCCATACGGGAGCAGCCGGTCACTTACTGACTAAACAATTCTGTTTTGCAATGTCAAAGTTTTAATTTTAATTCAGGTTAGATTTTGTTTTTGTGCGCAGAGACCGTGCCAGCAGTGCGCACACGCGCAGCTTAGAGGGAACATTGATGAGGACGGAGCTGAACGGTTCTAATTTCTGTTGCCAATCAGCCAATGAGTAGGCAGGCAGGCAGTTTGACATCAAAGGCTATTTTTCTTATTTAGTTCATAGATTGTTCCTGTCCCAGGTCAGGTGGCGAGAAAAGCAGGTAACACCCTGCTCAGGTCACCACGAGGTCCTGGAGCAAGAGCATGCATGGAGCACACAAAGGCCTTGTCTAGGTTTGAACCCAGGACGGTCTTACTGTAAGGCACAGAGCCACCATGCCTTTAAATGACAGTCATCAGTGTGGCTTTAAAGGAACTGAAAAAAAGCTTATAAGAGCGGAAACCACATTCATACGTTTATCTGCATAATAACAAGGATCTCATTCCAGTAAGGAAAGGATACTGAAGACGAGGGAGATCATGGCTCCCAGTGCCAGAGCCACTCGGAAATGAGCCATCCAGTAGTCGAGGGCCGTGACAGCCAGACGGTAGGTCAACACACACTGCAGGCACACAAACAGCAGCCCTGCTGGAAAGGCCACACCCGCTCCGACATAGTGAAGAGATTTGGCATGATCAACCTGTCAGATGGAAACAATGTCAGAAGAGCCGTTTGAACTGTGACATCCACGAGTTCTTCACTTATTGTGATCAGCATCACTATAAAATGAAAATAAAAATAGAATGCAATGATTTGCAAGTCTCATAAGCTCACTTTATTCACAACACTGAAACATCAAATGTTTAAACTGAGAAAATGTATCATTTTAGAAATTAAGGTCATTTTAAATTTGATGGCAGCAACATGTGAGTAAACACATAGCCGTCTTCTCTGGCTAAAGAGGATATAAAATTGACCCTGGTAACAAAAAATGCTCTGTGGTCAGACAAACTGACGACAATCCAGCTTATCAGCAGCACTCAGTTCAAAAGTCTCCATCTAGATTGTATTGAGGCATATCAGTGCCTGTGAAATTAACAGCTTGTACAAACAGGAAGAGCCCATCAATACTGAATGATATGTACACTGGTTTTAGAGAAACTTATCCTCCCATTCAGGCAATTCAATTCAATTTTATTTATATAGCGCCAAATCACAACAAAAGTCGCTTCATATGGCTTTTGTTTTGTGTAGGTGCTGAACTGGCCGGCTTGCAGTCCAGACCCTTCAACTAAAAACATCCGACGGATCATGAAACAGAAGAAAAATCAATTTCAGACAAGAATGAGACAATACTGCTGTTCAAGTTCAGCAGCTGCTCTCCTCGGTTCTCAGATATTTACAGACTATCATGGAAAAACACGAGGGCTTCAAATGAGCAAATATGGGTTTTTTCTTAAAAGTGGTACATTTTCTCATTTTAAACATTAGATGGGTTTCTATTGTGAATAAAACAGGTTTATGATATCTGCCAATCATTATATTCCTTTCTTTACTTACCTGAAAGTTGCCCACCATGACAAGACCAATGGCATTGGTGCAGCCAGACACCAGAGCGCTGGTGTTGACCCAGCATCTGTGGCTGTGTTCGATCACTTGGGCATAGCGCAAAAAGCACACCATCACAACTGTTGGAAACAAATTTAACAAGTATTAATAATCTATAATCTTTTTGATTTGAATGTGGAAGGAAGCGGTCTTAGTATGAAAAGTATGCTTTTGTTTTCCTAATTTTTTTAGAATAAACTTGAACGCCTGAGATTTGGACACTCGCTGTTCTGCATCATGAGAAAGGCAGCTGGGAAGTGGCTTCACGCATTCTTCCAAAGGTTAGACTATGTGATTCATGTAACTGCTGCCCTAGACAGGATGCTGGCTTTCAAATACTGACATCTCTGCTTGCATAAGGGTCAATTTTCTCAGCAGGCTTAAAAACCCAGGTTGCAAGTCAGTAAAACAGAGCCCAACATCACAAGCTACCAACAGGAAGGAATTTGAGGGTCTAAAACGGCTTCTGGTCTACCGAGGAATTGCAGAAATGCATTATTTACTAAAATGCAAGGAAGCAAAATAAAACCATGACAGCTGGAATATAAAGGAAAGACATATGAGAAGTAAAGGTGACGTGAATAATGAAGTAGAGCTGCAGGAGAGAAGCAATCAAGCAGCTGTGGGAAAACTGGGACAGAAGTGAGTGGTGATAAAACAAGAGAGAGGGGGAGGAGAAGGAATGGAGGAAAGCCACAGAAGGTGAATGCAGGGGAAGGGACAGAGGGGGAAGGAAAGCTGTATTCATTATTGATTAGAGAGCACAGGCTATTTCCAGCCCCTGCATAACTCTTGTGGCTAACGTCTGTGCCTGTGGGAAACTGTGGAGAATTAATAAAATATACAGAGTGGACTGTGGAGACAGTGTTGAGATGAAAGGTGTCTACTGCCTAATTTTGTTTAACAAACAGAAGCCAACAGGCTTTTCACTCAAGTGTTGGTAATGAATATAGAGACAGATTAGAGATTTAACAAGTCCACCTTTTATTCCTTGTGAAATGACCCCACACCTTTCTTCTGTGTCATTTAAGATGCTCTTAAATGTTTTAAGACACTAAAGACTAAAAAAATAAAAAAATAAAAATACACCAAGTCATACTTTGGTAATCAATTACAGAGGGTATCATTCTTGCTAGTCGAATAAGAAGTTTGATGTTCTTACAGATGATTATCTCAGTTTAACATTAAGACTTTAAACAGAAAGTAGCTTAAAATGATTATGTAATCATTACAACAACAAAAAAAGGAAGTGTTAAAATGTCAACTGGTAGTTTTACAGGAAGTAAAACTTAGTTTCTCTGGGTACAGTCGCTTCCTGGTGTTTTCAATTGGTGATACATTAGCCAACACTAGTACATAAACACTAAAACCCTGTTGTTGGGTGTTGCTAAAACTTAACATAACAATAGAACATAAAACATAATGAGGAACAAATTTTCCCCATTGTTTAAAGACTACATGTCACACTAAGCCAACTCACTGCAAGCTACATCGACATCTATACACACTGTAAAGATATGCATGCATGCACTGCGTTTAGTTAGGCTTACCCATGAAGGCTCCAACATTGCCTATCAGGCTGAACAGACAGCTTTCAGGAGGGTAGGAGCCACATTTACTGTGAAGACAAGATATAGACAGTATTTACAAAGACACACACACTATAAATTATTCTAATTTCTGAAACGCCAAAGATGGCAGCTGTCCTGCCTCTACCCTTAAAGAGCAAATCAACAATGTAATGAGCTGAAAAACATGAGTTCATGTTGTTGCAGTGTCACATACTGAGATTCAAAACTAAACCGTTCTGAAACCACTCGATATACTAAAAACATGGAAAAGTGTACTTATTGTTTTTTGTTAACTGCATCCATTTGTTCAATGATCTGGTGTGAGAAGGAGGAAACACTGTCTTAAGCAGTTATTTATAAGACTAGCCATGCCTCCTTCCCCATTCATTTAGATAGGATCTTTAAGATAAATGCCCAAATAACTTCCCCGAGGTGATGACAAGATGGCTGCTGAATAGTGAGACTTACTTTAAAAAGGACTACGCATGCATTTTACCTGACACTGTTTAACAGTATGCTTCTGCCAAGGGAAGCTTCTCTAATAAATTCAAGTATGACACCAAATGTCGGCTTACGCAGCCTGAAACTTAGATGAGAAATCATCTAAGCGTACGGACTGCAAAAACTTGTTTGGAGCGATTAGTTTTTACAAGAGCGCTATTGTACTCGCCTGTGGTAAGTGGAGTATTTGCAAATTAAACAAATGCAATTTATGCAAAGCGATGACATAACAAGATGATAATTCATGCTTCGAGGCCTTTGCTAACACAAAATAGCTTTTGTACTCTGAAACAAAGACATTAAGTGTAGCAAAGGGACCTGATGAGGGGGATGTCCTGGATGGTGCAGCATGACTTCGGGAAGCCTGGCCGGGGCAGCTCTTCTATGCATGTTACATTGTAAGACCTGTAGGAGTGACACAAAAAGCTCTGTTTATTCCCTGCTCATAGCTATGGAGTTAGCTCTGGTTTATTTTTGTAACCAATTAGATATTTTAGCCCATTTCATCACCTTCATAGAAGAAAAATCACATACCAGTTCTCCACAGGACACACATGGTGATTCATCACAGCCATGGCATACCTGTAGAGTAAAAAACCCACCATAATTTAAAGAAAGAAACAAATCCCCAATGACAAAAGCCCATTTGCCCCGTCCTTTCCCACAAACCCTTCAATTAATCGACCCATCATGTAACACATTTAAATGTGACAGCATACAAGACCCAGGCACTGTGACTCACACTATCCATATTCCTGTGATGGAGAAGGCAGACAAGCTGACAGGTAGTACAATCCAGGCAGTCATTGGGCTGGCAGTGAGCAACCTTTGTCCCAAGCATGGGGTGAGAGGGCGACTTTGGGCTGGAGCGGCAACGGATCAGGTTGGGGGTGGGTGGGGTGTGGGGGCACTAACACACAGGGAGACACACGGGGGAAAGGGGGGCATGAGAGGGCAAAAGGGGGAATGGCACAGCTCTTCTGCTCCACACGTTCCTGCAAACAGCAGCAACCCTAAAGAAGGTGAGGAGTAGAAGGACAATTTTATTAAACAGATGAAGCATTCAGATAGATTTTTTACAGACACATCTTCAGTGTTAGATCATCTGGAAACATCTTGCCTTGGCATGCATAACACAGAAAAAAAAAGAAGCTCAGTTCCCTCACATGCTCTGTTAATGGTTGCATTTTAAGACATAAATGCAAGCGGCCAACTGTTAAGCACATACACACTGTGCTTGTGTGGCACGAGGGACAAAATAAGCAGTGACTGTGCGTACTCTTATAGTAAATTGAAGGTCCCCAGCATGCTGATAAGAAAAAAAAAAAAAAGACAAAACAAAACAAACAAAACAAAGGATAATGGCCAGCCTATCAAACTCTCTTAGGGACTCTTAGATTCTTGATGAACCTCAGCGCAAAATAAAGTTTACATGCAAGACTGTTCCATTTACTGTAAACAAAACACATTCAGCAATAAAACCTCACTGCATTCACTAAATATCTTCCGTAAGACTGCCCTATGTCACCATTACCAATGTCCATTTGTAACGGCATCTGTTCCCCACATGACGCAAAAACTGACTGCACCTCTAGAAAAGAAATGAGCAGCAACATGAAGCTGTTAAACTGTCTGGGAAAGGTGTACCCTTTTGAGAATGTAGACTTGGTCAAGGTCAGCTGTGTGGTGGAGGAAGGCATGCCCCAACACAGATGTGTATCACTTTACACAGGGTACAGTTACAAGTGTGCCCTTGGCTCAGAGGGACTATACAGTGGCATTAGATGGAGTAGAAGCTCTTGTACCCAAAGAAGGGTTGAACCCACAAATGAAGCAGTGTTAAGATTATTGTTCTTTTTCTACTATGTAATGTAACAACAACAACAAAAATAATAATAATAAAAAAAACTTCCCAGTGACTACACCCTACTATTTGCAATTACAAAACTCTACAACTTAAATAAAATAAAAAATAAAAAAAATAATCCCAAATCACTCATTTAGGTTTCCTATCTTTTAGCATTTGCCAAACATAACTTGCCTGTTTGTTTGACGAGACCAATTGGCTTCACAACATACATACTTTCTCATACAAGTAATTTTAATTATGAAAAACTACTAAAAGTTAGCATTTATAAATGTAACATTGTAAAATATGCTGTAATGAAGAGGATGACTGGCCTTTTATTATTCTTACCTCGCCTCTACGGAGAAGGACTTTAGCATACTGAACAGAACCGTCTATGTAAAGGAAATGCCCCCCCATTCCGCCCGCAGCCACTCACAGCAAATATTCGCCACTGTACTTATAAAAGGCAAAATACAACCGTGACAGTATGTTTTTTGCGAACAGCCAACAACACTAACTTTTCCACTGTCTACTCCGGCCAACCAAAGGCAGTAAGATCCCGGAGCACGGCAGCCTTCTTTGCGAACCGCGGAAATCCAACCGTTAGCCTCGCTAGCTTCAGCCTAGCTAGCTAGTTAGCTCGCACTTTACCAGTTCGTTTGACTTGACACCTGCACGCATCTCGGTTTCCGCTAACCCCAGCGATAAGCTCCGAAACAAGAAAAAATTAAAGACTGAGAACATCTGTGGTAACTGGACAGCTATAGTGCAAAAATTGGTTTACACCTACCTTCCACCTGCTATGCCCACAACAGACCTCAACAACCTTGGTTTCCCTTTAAAAACAGCGTTTTCTTAGCAAACGAGGTAATTGCTTAAATAAGTTCCGGTTGGGCGTTTCAAAATAATATATAGTGGCCGTTGCTGTTAGAGTTTCCTTAAGAATAAATAAATTATCAAATAATTTAGTTTATCTTTATAACAATAACTATTTCATTGGTAATTAAATACAAAAGATGCTCTGCACCGCTAAGAAAATAAAAAAAAATATATATAAATCACCACCTCCGTTTAATGCACATCTCCTCAGTTTGCCAATCAAGCCCGGAAGTCACACCTTTGGGGCCAGCCGACAGAAACCTTTTTACATGTAAGTCGATTTTGCATAAACATATTAATTAGACCTTCAGTCTTCATTTTTTTTGTCTGCATATTGGAAATAAAACACTTTTATTTTCATACAATCATATAATCTTTTATTCTAGTGTAACTAACTTGACAGAGCTCGCAGTGCTGTCAGGCCCCACTGTGCGACCCCGCTGTAGTTTTTGGTGAGGTGGTTAAGTAACAAACGTGATTTGAATGTGTTCAGAAACGTAAGCTGATCAAAGTTTATATGTGCTTTGTTTCTAAAATAATATTGACTCACTGTAGTTCCTTCTTCTTCTTCTTCTCTTTTTCAAAGTTTCTACCAAGAACTCATCTCTAACAAGTGATGGATTTGGCCATTAGGGGAAAAGGGAATACCATAAATGATGAGTTGCCAGCCTGATACAGAACAAGCTGAAACTTAAGCACATAAATGGTGTTCAACCTACATGTCAGGACAGCCCTCCAATAATCAGTCAACAACCCTGGGAATATAAGAACAGTGTAATTCACTTGTGTGTCTCAGCAGCGAAAGCACACGTGTAATTAATAAGTAGAATTAGCTCTGACAAGCTGTCTCAAGAAGATGGAAGTAGTATTTTGAGGAGCTGATGAATGAAGAAAATTCATCAGAGGACAGATGGAGAAAATGAGTGAATCAGGAAGTTTCACACATGTCAGGACAAAGCAGTTGGTCCACACAACATATCTGTGGAGATAGTGAGATGCCCAGGAGTGAGGGCAGTGGACTTTTTACCTCAGTCTTGGAGAGTGAGAGGATGCCTGAGGAATGCACAAGTTAACCATTATTTTCCTTTGATTGCATTTGAGAATCACTGATAATATAATCTATTCCTAATCGGTATCTACTCAGTATTTTTTACTGACGAACATAGAAAAGTGGTGTTACTAATAACATTACTGATGACTTGATTCTGTCACACACAAGCAATCAGATCTCAAAATCAAAGCGCCACTAATTTGATTATTCTGTTTCCTATTGTGATGTGTTAAATTGTCTCTGAAAATGATTCAATTCAAATTCAATTCAATTCAATTTTATTTATATAGCGCCAAATCACAACAAAAGTCGCCTCAAGGCGCTTCATAGATACAGAGAAAAACCCAACAATCATATGACCCCCTATGAGCAAGCACTTTGGCGACAGTGGGAAGGAAAAACTCCCTTTTAACAGGAAGAAACCTCCGGCAGAACCAGGCTCAGGGAGGGGCGGGGCCATCTGCTGCGACCGGTTGGGGTGAGAGAAGGAAGACAGGATAAAGACATGCTGTGGAAGAGAGACAGAGGTTAATAACAGATATGATTCAATGCAGAGAGGTCTGTTAACACATAGTGAGTGAGAAAGGTGACTGGAAAGGAAAAACTCAATGCATCATGGGAATCCCCCGGCAGCCTACGTCTATTGCAGCATAACTAAGGGAGGATTCAGGGTCACCTGGTCCAGCCCTAACTATATGCTTTAGCAAAAAGGAAAGTTTTAAGCCTAATCTTAAAAGTAGAGATAGTGTCTGTCTCCCGAATCCAAACTGGAAGCTGGTTCCACAGAAGAGGGGCCTGAAAACTGAAGGCTCTGCCTCCCATTCTACTTTTAAATACTCTAGGAACAACAAGTAGGCCTGCAGAGCGAGAGCGAAGTGCTCTAATAGGGTGATATGGTACTACAAGGTCATTAAGATAAGATGGGGCCTGATTATTTAAGACCTTGTATGTGAGGAGCAGGATTTTGAATTCAATTCTGGATTTAACAGGAAGCCAATGAAGGGAAGCCAAAACAGGAGAAATATGCTCTCTCTTTCTAGTCCCTGTCAGGACTCTTGCTGCAGCATTTTGGATTAGCTGAAGGCTTTTCAGCGAGTTTTTTGGACATCCTGATAATAATGAATTACAGTCGTCCAGCCTGGAAGTAATAAATGCATGAACTAGTTTTTCAGCGTCACTCTGAGACAGGATATTTCTAACTTTAGAGATGTTGCACAAATGGAAGAAAGCAGTCTTACATATTTGTTTAATATGTGCGTTGAAGGACATGTCCTGGTCAAAAATGACTCCAAGGTTCCTCACAGCGTTACTGGAGGCCAAGGTAATGCCATCCAGAGTAAGAATCTGGTTAGATACCATATTTCTAGGCTTTTCAGGGCCGAGTACAATAACCTCAGTTTTATCTGAATTAAGAAGCAGAAAGTTAGCGGCCATCCAGGTCTTTATGTCTTTAAGACATTCCTGCAGTTTAACTAATTGGTGTGTGTCATCTGGCTTCATGGACAGATAGAGCTGGGTGTCATCTGCATAGCAGTGAAAATGTATGCTATGTCTTCTAATGATGCTGCCTAAGGGAAGCATGTATAATGTAAACAGAATTGGTCCTAGCACTGAACCCTGTGGAACTCCATAATTAACCTCAGTGTGTGAAGAGGACTCTCCATTTACATGCACAAACTGGAGTCTATTAGATAGATATGATACAAACCACTGCAGCGCAGTACCTGTAATACCTACAGCATGTTCTAATCGCTCTAATAGGATATTATGGTCGACAGTATCGAACGCTGCACTGAGGTCTAGCAGGACAAGCACAGAGATGAGTCCACTGTCAGAGGCCATAAGAAGATCATTTGTAACCTTCACTAAAGCTGTTTCTGTGCTGTGCTGAGCTCTGAAACCTGACTGAAACTCTTCAAATAAACCATTCCTCTGCAGATGATCTGTTAGCTGTTTGACAACTACTCTTTCAAGGATGTTTGATATGAAAGGAAGGTTGGAGATTGGCCTATAATTAGCTAAGACTGCTGGGTCTAGAGATGGCTTTTTGAGTAAAGGTTTAACTACAGCCAGCTTGAAGGCCTGTGGTACATAGCCGATCATTAGAGATAGGTTGATCATATTTAAGATCGAAGAATTAATTAATGGCAGGACTTCTTTGAGCAGTTTTGTAGGAATGGGGTCTAAAAGACAGGTTGATGGTTTGGAGGAAGTAATTATTGAAGTTAACGGGTGATGGGGGTGTCAGTCAGGATGATGGGGGGGAGTGGAGCTGTGTGCTTCCTGAAGTCCACAATAATCTCCACTGTCTTCTGGGCATTCAGCACCAGGTTGTTGTGGCTGCACCAGGACACCAGACGTTCAACCTCCCTCCTGTAGGCAGACTCATCCCCGTCCGAGATGAGTCCAATAACGGTGGTGTCATCTGCAAACTTGATTAGCTTGACAGACTGGTGGGTGGAGGTGCAGCAGTTGGTATACAGGGAGAAGAGCAGAGGAGAAAGAACACAGCCCTGAGGGGAGCCGGTGCTGATGGTCCGGGAGTGACTCGGTCTGTAGGTAGGTAATGTTTGTCACCATGTCAGAGTAAAGGTCATAGTAAAAATTAACCACATTATTTCCTCCTTAAAAGGCAAGAGCTGCCTCTCATTTCTTTATGTTTTGCTGGGAAAATGAGAAAGAGGTGCAGGGATTTATTGAAACATGCAAACACACATCAAAATACAGCAGATAAGACAAAAACAGTTTGTGGAATTCTAGCAAGCTTGAAAGTCAATAATTGGCATGGCCACCTTTATTCTTCAACACAGCCTGAACTCTCCTGTGAAAGCTTTCTTATAGTTTCTTTAAGTACTCTATAGGGCTAGTTCTCCAGGCTTCTTAAAGGATATTAGAAATGTTTTTCCTTGGATGTTGGTTGCCTTTTGTTCTCTTCTTTCTCAAGATGATCCTATCACAATGATCTCAGCCTCAAATCACGGCAGAGCTGTGTTTTACAGATTCCTGTTGACACTCACCGTTGTACCTCTCTGCTGAACTGCACTGTACATACTGACAACAATTTGCACCAAGGACATGACTTTCAGATAATGTTAATCAATGCTCAACAAATTATGTGCTATTGCAACAATTTAAAATGAGTTTTCTGTTGAGTTGTCTCGTATGTGTAGACACATTATTGGTTTATCCCTCGAATTGGGTGCCTTTCATATACTTAAGCACACAGCCCCACTCCCCCCCATCATCCTGACTGACACCCCCATCACCTCTGTGGACTCATTCCGCTTCCTGGGTACCACCATCACCCAGGACCTGAAGTGGGAGCCCACCATCACCTCCGTCATCAAGAAAGCCCAGCAGAGGATGTACTTCCTGAGGCAGCTGAAGAAATTCAACCTGCCAACACGGACGATGATGCAATTCTACACTGCAATCATCGAGTCCATCCTCACCTCCTCCATCACCGTGTGGTACGCTGGAGCCACTATCAGGGACAAACAGAGACTGCAGCGTGTTGTGCGCTCTGCTGAGAAGGTGATTGGCTGCAGACTCCCATCTCTGCAGGACCTGTACACCTCCAGGACATTGCGGCGTGCAGCTCGGATCTCAGCTGACCCTTCTCACCCTGGACACAGTCTGTTTGACCTGCTCCCCTCAGGCAGGAGGCTCCGGTCCATTCGCACCAGAACCTCTCGCCATAAGAACAGTTTCTTCCCCTCTGCTGTTGGACACATGAACAATAACCGTATGACTGTTCCCACCACTAACACATGACCCTACGCTGTGTTCACTGCATCATTCCATGTTTGGCACTGATCACCACCTGCACTCATGTATATATCATGTATATATCTATCTACTTAGCACTTTTAATTCTTATTCTTATTTTTATTTTCATGTCTATTTAAGCGTAATTTATGACAGTATGTTTGCACTGAAGCACCGCAGCAATTTCCTAATGTTGTAAACCTGCTCAACATTTGGCAATAAAACCCTTTCTGATTCTGATTCTGATTCTGATTCTTAAATGATTCACAGATGTGAAGTGGCTTAACAAACAACAAAAAACATTGTTCTGAAAATGTATCATATGGAAAATGTTCTTTTCCTTTCTCTTCCACTTGATGTGACCCTACAGTTTGCATCGTCATCCCAGTTTACCCCTTGATCTAATGACACATTATACTAATAAGGCTATCTTAAGTCTGAAAGTGGTATTTAAGTGTCACTGATTTAATGACTTCAGTCCTTAATTGATTTAACCCTCATGTGGTGGCTGGCAGCAGGAAGGTAAATAAAGGGTTGACATACTTTATGGCTCTTGTAATAAGCCAATAGTCTTGCAGAATGCCGTCATTGGTCAGCAGAACAATAATCTGATATCCAATAAGAGGATTCAATGGCAATCAAAGTCATGTTGGAGACACTTGTTTCTCCTGAGTAGAAATTTTCAGCCTGCTATTTGCTTATGTGAATGTGTCACAGCGTTGCTGCTGATGCTTGTCTGCTGCTTTAACATTAAAACCACATGTTTTAATGTTAAGGGCATGCAACCTTGATTCACTTCACTTCTGAGGAACGCCCCCACCCCCTCCCAGTCAGGAAGTAGGCTAATGCTTAAAACCTTTATCCTCTTTTATGTATGCACTAGCCTTCCTTTGTTTCCCTTTGCTATAGGAAACCAATACAAAAACATCTCACAAATAATTTGAAGTGAACTTTTAACAACACTTCTACTAGAAATCTACAGTTTTTCCTGTATTAAAGTATTAAGTAGTGTAGTTTTATTCAGACAGCATGCAAGTAACAAAGGTATACAGTAGTATTTCCCACACATAGCCTTCAGGTATAACTTCTTGAGTAAGGGATTTCAAAACACATTTTATATAAAACGAGATGTATTCTTATTGGTCATCTGTTCAGATATTCTACACAGCCAACATCATGTCACCAGGCAGCTCAGCAGAGGATAATGGTATTTATATGTCCTGTAAGCATGCGGATCCTCTCAGTCAGCAACATTAACAGGGCCATGAGGCATCCTGCTTGTGTCCTCCACTCTTAGGTAAAGGGGGTATTAGACTCCAGTAATGCTGGTCAGTCTGGCTGCTCTGTGTGTTGTGTAGTTTTTGAGGGTGGAGCACAGGAAGATGGGGAGCACCAGGAAGGTGGACAGCATACCGAACAGGAGACAGAGTCTCTTCCCCAACTACAAAGTCACAGATTCTGATCTTAATCGAAGACCTTCTGAGATCGTTTACCCACTAGCAAAGGAAAGCTGCGTGAAAACGTGGAACTCTCTGCAGGAGCTCAGCAGGGACATCTACGACATTTATGCAGAGTATGAGGACGAAGAGGATGACAGTACTCCATACGGCTTCGCCAAGCACATTTCCCCCTCCAAGAAGAACTATGTGATCAATATTAATGTAGGAGGGAAGCCCTACAAGATAGCCTACAAGATGGCAGCGAAGTACCCCAAGACCAGGATAGGGAGACTGGCCACGTACACAGACCACAACATGAAGCTGGACCTGTGTGATGACTACATAGTGACCAGCAACGAGTACTTCTTTGACAGGGACCCAGATGTCTTTCACAGCATCTTCAACTTCTACAGGACGGGAGTGCTCTGGATCAAGGACGAGCTGTGTCCCCGCAACTTTCTGGAGGAGATCAACTACTGGGGCGTGAGGATCAAGACCACCCACCGCTGCTGCCGCATCGCCTTCGAGGAGAGGCAGGACGAGCTCAATGACCAGCTGAAAATCCAGAGGGAGCTGGAGGCAGAGATAGAGATAGAGGAGAACGAGGAGCTGTTCCACGACATGTTCATGGGCCAGATGCGGCGAGCCATCTGGAATTTGATGGAGAAGCCTTTTTCATCTGTGCAGGCCAAGCTGATGGCTGTGGCCTCCAGTTTGTTTGTCCTGATCTCCCTGGTGGCCATGACCCTCAACACGGTACAGGAGATGCAGTACAGAACTGCTTCAGGTCACCTCAGCGGCAAGACATACTGGGAGTGCGTGGAGTCCATGTGCATCACCTTCTTCACCATGGAATACCTGCTGCGTCTCATATCCACACCCGACCTCAGTTCCTTCAGCAGGAGCGTGCTCAACACCGTGGACCTAATCGCAATCCTGCCTCAGTATCTGCAGTGCATTCTGGAGATCTTTGACAGCCAGGATAATTACGTGAAGCATGAGGCTGACATGCAGGCGGTGGGGCAGGTGGGAAAGCTGGGGCAAGTGTTGAGGATCATGAGACTGATGCGGATCTTTCGGATCTTGAAGCTGGCGCGTCACTCCACGGGTCTGCGGGCGTTTGGCTTCACCCTGCGACAGTGCTACCAGCAAGTGGGCTGCCTCTTCCTCTTCATCGCCATGGGCATTTTCAGCTTTTCTGCTATGGTTTATACCGTGGAGCACGACATGCCACACACAAACTTCACCAGCATTCCTCATGCATGGTGGTGGGCAGCTGTAAGTGCATGTTTGTATTGAGGGGTATAATGAAGAATGACTACAGTATGAAGTAATAACAGAAAGGGTAGCAAATATAAACTTTATCATAAAATAAGTATTAATGCGTCCTGTCCTTGAGTAACTCGTGTCTCAGTGCAACATTATTAGATTACACTGGGCAATACCACCTTACAAAACAAATGAGGTCAGCTCTGATTAAGGACATGTCTCCCTGCGCTTCCTAGGAATTGTGTATTGAATATTTTGTGGGGCACCTTGTCAAGTTTTAGAGGGTGGAACAGCCATTACTCCAGTAGTGTCTGTGCTGGAGTTTAAGAGGTTAACATCTTGATTCACAGAGTCTGCCTGCTGCATGAATAAACCCATTAACAGATCCTTTCCCTCCCTCCCCTAAACCAGGTGGTAGAATCTTACATCTAATCCAAAGGAAAGAAACAATAATCCTCTGAATGATAGTCATGTTTATAGAATTCTGAATGCTGCTCAAGGCTACCGACTCCCATTGCATTAATGTAAATTCACATACAGTGAGTCATCGAACCACCTACTTTAAGACATTTTACCTGCAGTCTGTTGGCAGGATACCTTATAAAACTGAACTGGTGTCTGACAAAAGTGCAT